CTATGCGAACACACACTCGTGCTGAAATACACACGCAGGTACCCAGCTCGGTGTACAGTGGCGGTTAATAATATAGGTTTTTATTTTATGATAAAAAAATTGAAAACAATTTTTTTTACTTAATATTTTGTTTATTTCTTGCTTTAGAGATTACGGAGATTCGTCATTTAAATTTCACACAATTTGTTAGTCTTTCTTCGTTGAGTCAGGACGTTGTTTTCAAGACTTTTGAAAATATTTACTGGGTGGTACTGAACCTTAACTTTCCCATGACAAATAGCAAGTTTTTAATACATTTTTTTGTTACCTTGTCTTAAAGGTCACTTCTACTATGATATGTTGAGCTCCTCTATAAGCTACACAGGGAATATAAAACCGTATTAGTGGGCGGTAAAAGTAAAAAAGCTAAATAGTAAAATAAATTGTTGCAAACTTCACCAGAAAAACCCATATTAGTAAGGAAAGGTTTATGATTTAGAATCTAAAACTTTTTCTAGATTTTCCAAAGTGCGAAAACGCCTTTCAGGTATGCAACATAATTCACTTAAACATATCCTTTCAGCACGAGAAGTAAATTTTTTCGGTAAATTACTCCTTAATTAAAGTAGCACTATTATCCTGACCCCCACCGTTGGCTATAAAGGGAAAAGGGAAGGGCCCTGCTCTTGGCGAATTTCAAATATAATGATTTCGAGAGAATCGTTCAGAGAAAGAGAGTCGGAACCCATTGAGAGAGGGGGTGGGTGCTTTTATTGTCGAGCAGCACGCATTTGTAGCCGTTAATGTAGTTGTCGCCTGCCAGCAAACACACATGTGGGAAAATGCAATCTATGTAGGTAGACGAATACTTTTCTCCCGAACATGTCTTTGCAAGCAGGGAGAACAGGTAAAAGGAACAGAGAGCGAGGGTCCAGGTGAGAAGTAGAGAGAATGAGAGGATACAAACAAGGAAGCTGAACCGAATCGGTAATACCGATCAGGTACACGTGATCGGGAGCCAAAAGGTCCTAAGCGAACTGGTTTTGGTTTTATGGACACAGTTAAGTACACTTAAGTAGATTCTAATAAATGTTTTCAATATCCAAAGGTCATAAAATAATAAATAAACAGTTTAGTTTGATGAGGGTTTTAAAATCTTATGAAGATGCTTTTTATTTGAGAAGGGTTTTTAAAATATTTATAAATTTTCTTTACAAAAGAGGATTGGACTTTATAAAAGTGATCTTATAGCAAACAGAAGCTTTACAAGCGATTTGGAAAGAAGACTAAGCTAAGATCTTGAAATATTTTGGTAATACTGCAATTTGTCTACTGAATACATTGAGGAGGGTTTCCAAAATCTTTTTAAATGTGGTTCCCAAAGAGGTTTTAGGATCAGACTTTACAAAAAGATCATATAGCTAACATATGCTTTACAAGCGATTTGAAAAGAAGAGTTAAGATCTTGAAATATTTCGTAATATTGAATAAAAAAAATTGACTGAAGATAGAAGTTTTTCAAATTAATTTATTATTTCGAATCCCCACTGTTTCAATATTTCGTCGCTCTCTAGTTCAACTGCTTGACCGCCCAGTGCAGCCTATGTACGTAGCAATCTTTAAATGTTAACAACAACAACAGCAACCACAAAGATAATGCCAGAGCAGCAACAACAATGACAGAGAATGGCTGAGATACTTAGCTAAAAGGCTAAAATTAGCAGGCAACTGTGAATTTCAAAGTTGACGCCGGCCGGGCAGACAGCATCCAAGTGTCCCAGCCTCCGAGGGGGGAAGAAAGAGAAAGACAGAACGCGATGAGAGCAGTAATGAATGAGATGGAAAAAGACAGCTTTTCGTTTTGGAGAGCTTCATAAACAATGACAATTGTGGGGCTCTTTCTCTCAAGTTAGTTCTCAAGTTCGCTCTCACTTGGTAGATTTCAAGGTTAACGGTTTCTCACCTTGGGGGCCGAATAAGTCCCACTGCTTTATCACTGACGAAAGCAGTATACTGCTTCCATCGAAAGCGCTCGAAATTTAAAAGTGCAATTTATATTTTATTACATTTTTGGCGATCTGACGTCAAACCCCGATAAAAACAAAAGCTCTAAGTACTCATGACTCGCCGACTCTCTTATCTCTAATTTCTTATTGCAAAGAAGTTATCGCTAGCCAAGGAATTAAGTCATTTCTACTGGCTTATCATTGTTATTCGTGCGGCGTTCCCGCTATTTTAGCTTTTTGCACTTAAATGCAAATTTTTCGAATATATAAATAATATTTTTTTTGGCGCAGAATTAGCGAAGGCAAGAAAAATGCCATCGATGATCTAATCGATTTCGGCTGGAAGTATAAAAATGTATATATAGACACTTTGTTGACCACGTAGCATTTCTCTTTCGACCGTTACTCATTCTAGATAGTCTAAAAACTGAATGAAACAAAGACCTAAAGACCGGAGGTTAAGATAGTTTTATCTTTAAATATAATAGCAATGTTGTCATGTCTAAAAACTGAAATGATTCCAATTTCACTACGATAGCTATTATCACATCCAAATACTATTCTATAATAGCTATTAATAAAATTTAAATGTAAAATATTGATTGGCAAGTGAAATTTTACGAGTTTGAATAGAAATTAAAAACTGGGACAATGGGTGATTAATCATCATTCTCAACGCTAGACTTGTTACGAATCATACATAAATCTCTAATTAACAGTTTTACATTCACCATACAAACGCCGCTTGGTTAGCTTTTCTTTATGGCCAAGTCCGGCGGCTGGAGAATGCTAATGTGGGCTGACTTCCCGACTGACTGACTCGATTATTCAAGTATTCGAGTGCCCACAGTGGGCAGTCCACGGCGAACAGCACTTAAGCTCTTGGCCATGTCCAAATTGGGCATCGTACTCAGGCAAAAGCCCCAGTGAAAACCATCAGAGCCACAGGTTCATGTCTAGCCACTCGTGCAAATTATATTTTGGCCAACGAAGGAGGAGAACGAATAATGTAGAATGTACGAAGAAAGCATATTTTCGCCAATTTGGGAGTGGCAGAGCAATGAAAAATTGATTTTTCTGGTCTAGCACCTTTGGGATAATAATCACAAAGTTTTACGGAAAGCGGAATTATTTAAATTTTAACGTTTCTTATTTACGAATATTAAATATTAGTTTATAGGCTCATTAAAATGCAACCATTTAACCTTGAAAATGCATTAATCTATAGAGATTTTATAACATTTACTGGCACTTATCCAGGTACAGTTTTCCTTATAAAGTGCTTTATACAATTAAATAATTTTATAGATTGCGATTAGGGACTCTATACATCACATGTATAATAAAACACCGATTAATTTTGAAGCCAAAGTCCAACATTCACTATGACTAAAGCAGGCACAAAATAAGTGCATGATTAACGAGTGATTTTTGTATATTAACTGCAAACCTTAGACGGAGGCTAAATTAAATGCGAATTAGTCATCACAAAAACAAATGATTTTCACAGCCCAGAGCTGATTAAAAATGGTATACTAAATGAATGCACCTACATATGTTTGTACAGTCATATAAGTACCTATAGAAAGTGGATGGAGCGTCGCTTGGACTAAGCTCAGATTGCATGCGAGGCCTTTGGCCCCTCTTCTCTGTGGAAATCGGGGAAAATGGCAGACGCCCCATATCAGTTTGCAATTTGCAGTTGTAAAAAGTTTTTTGTGAATATACATAAACAGTAAAGCCTCAAACACTAAAATTCAAATGCAGATATAATATTTAGCATTTAAGAAAATTTTGGTTTAAATATTTTTTATCAGGGATTATTTACATTTTCTTTTCTATTGTTAATAAAAGGTAAGATCAACTTTAAAGTCAAGTTAGCTATTTAAAGGGGGTTTTCAAAAATGGGTTTGAAATTTAAAACTTTTCAAACTTTGAATTGTTTTTAGAAACTCCTAGTACAGTTTTAATTATTGTTATTCAATGTTAGACTTCCATCACCCGTTTGGTTGTTTCAAATAATATTTCTTTTAAGTTCGTCTTAGGCCAGTATTACTGTACTGGACAGCCTGGTGGCGTTTGGCGGCTGAAGTTGGGTTGGCTTAGCATGCGATCCGATTACGGTTACCGCTCACCGCTTCAGTGCAAATCGTATGGCTGGCGGGTAACTGAACTATATAAAAACGATGGCTAATTGCAGTGCGACTGGACTTGCTACTAAACATATAAAAGGGGTAGGTAGGTGGAAATTGAAAGAGGGGGCGTGGCAGCTACCCCGCAAATTATTTTTAGACACCCCAGGTGAAAGCAGCATAAAACAGGGATATAAAGCGGTGCTAGCAACTAAACTAATTAAGGGTTTCTAAAGAAAAATTAAATAAAATTACTGAATAACTGGAAACTTGCTTTGTTTTTGTAATTTTATAGTAGAAATATTGTGAAAATTCGCAAAATAAATAAGAAATAAGATTGGAAATGAAATGAGCTGTCGAAAAAAAGAATATAACAAGCAGGATAAGACAAAAAATACTTTATAATCATTTGAATACCGCTTAAATATTTCTCCCAATAAGTATAATATTGCCCTATATAAGAACTGCGGGGTAACGAAAAAAAAAGTTGGATAGATAAGCACACATACAGAGACAATGCAGAAAAGAGCACTCGAAAGGATATGCGGAATAATGTGGCATACTTTCTGGGGCACTGCTTGCAGAAATTAAAGCGCCAACAACAACAAAAGCCTCCCATTTGTACTTGTGTTCGTGGGCTCTTAACCAAATGGGGAGCAAAGCAAAGCAGCAACAACAACAAAAACAGTAATAACAAAAAGGACAATGGGGGTGGCTCTGTGATGACATCATCATCATCATGATGAACATCATAACGCATATTGACAATCGTTTCGTACGATTTGTACAGTTTACAGTTACAGTTGAAAGGTCTGATGGCGACCAAACCAAAAACACCGCGGTCAAGCAGCACAGTCGAGGGCACAGTTTTAGCGGCACTTACCTTGCGGGTGTAAACGTTCGGGCTTAAACCAGGCATCTGCAAATAGGCGATTGATATATTGATTTTCGTTAGTTAGCGGTTAGTCGTGGTGCGAAAAGATAATGAAAACAGGAAGGAAAGGAGATGGCGTGCAAAAGCGGTTAACTAAAAAGCGTTACAAGCACTGAAAGTTAGGAAGAAAGCAGTTTAGGCCACTAAAATAATGCAGTATTAAAAAGAAAGGTTTGAGATAAAAAATAGTCATACTACACAAAAGCTTAAAAACCACTTGTACAACATACTACACACTCGATATAGACAAATTATACAATCCTTAATTATAAAACTACCACCCAGGTCACCGTTGTCAGAGGTTAGTTTTGTTGTTTTTCATCTTATTTCCCAATTTCGGGGTGAGTTTCGTTTTGGGGTATTTTTTCTATATTTATTTTTACCACTTACTGGGATCGAGTATGGAGCAAATCAATGGGCGATGCTTGCACACGCCATTCTGACCGGTTTCGCCCAATGCAGACATTATTTTAGGTTTCGCTTAGGATTTGTTCTTTATTTTTAGCACACTTTTTTCGTTAGCACTACGGTTTATCCTTTTTTCTGGATAGTAACTTTACGGGTTTTTCCGTTTTATTCGATTGTTTTCGTTGACAAAAGCACAGCGAAAAGAGAGAGAGAGAGCGATGAGAACGCACGAACGAATGGGTATTACGACGTTAAGGTATTACGCTATAAGAATTTTTCACTTCCGTGTGGCGGCCTCACGACGCGTATAGAGACTGAAACGTATCGGGAAAAGCTTCGGCCCAAAAAGCAGGCCGGGGAGTCTCCCCTCCGGAAAAAGGACAACCCTAAGCTCAGAGCGGCGGCGCCGAGAGAGAGAGAGATTTAGAAACTGCAGAGCGAGAGGCCCCCTACTGTGCCCATTTGAGCCTACAGTAGAACTTTACTAGCTCAAAAACCCTTTACTGTACAGCTGATTATAATAAATGGGAGAAATTAAATCTCTAATAAATGTGTCTAAAAGTATGCAATACAAATTATATTCATTTTTATTTGAGATATTTATTTTTGAAAGATCAACCCACTTTATGGTTTTAGATTTAAAGATTTCCTGTACAGCTGATTATAATAAATGGGAGATATACAATCTCTTATAAATGCGTCTAGAAGAATGCAATACAATTTTTACTAATTTTTGTAAGTGATGATTATTTTTAAATGGTAGATCGACCCGTTTTATTGCTAAAAAAAATATTGACAAAAATGTTTCATATCTTTATTATTTTTACTAGATTTATTTATTGTTAAAAACTGGGGATTGGGGTAAAAGTATTTCATATTCAATGGGTATTTTTATTCTTTATCACAGAATAACAAATTAAATGAAGTTAAATGATTTTGAATAAAGGAGGTTATTAGTCACTATAGACTTAAATTTTTAATGCAGTCTATTTTCAAAACTCTCCTTTCAGAGAGGTTCCACTGTAGTCGCAGGGCTGAAGGCAATGCAATGAAGGCGAAATCGAAATCGAAATCGATGAGAGGGCAACCGCAAGTCTCGCCAAGTTGAGCAACCGCGCTTAGCCCTGAACTCGGTGCTCCGGCTCGGAAAATTGCCGCCAAGTTTGGGAAAAGCTCTCTGGCTCGGGGCCATCGATTTCACCTAATGCAGCTGACCTGCCTGGAGATTCGAGACTGGAGACTGGAGAGTTTTTCCGCGAGTGGGGAGACTTTTCCGCGCATGCGTTGCCCCTGCAGGAATCGAATCGTTCTTGTCGCCACCCACTAAGTGGGCCGGAAATTACCAGACGCTCAAAACTTTTGGGTGCGGTGGGTGCAATTGAGCTGCAGATGCTGTTGCTATTGGTCTTCCCCACCCTCCCCTCTGCCCTTTGACCCCGCCCTACAGCTGCGTGCGGCGTGAAAATTAGATGGGAAATCAATCAGCGGACACTCGGAAAGCATTTCCTATTTTTTTCTGTCTTTAAAATCATTCATTGATCCACTTTGCGAAATAGATGCTTTTGGCCATCGACCAAGTTATGACATAAAATGCTTGACGCATTCCAATTGCGATGTGCTGCCAAATGGGAAAAACTTCTTTGACGGGTTAGCACAGTTCCGGCAAGATGAAATCGATATTTAGCAGGAGGATAAGGAAGCATGTTTTCCGGTAAGGTTCCGGATGGTAAACCATACCAAAAGCTTTAGAAACTATTTCTTTGGTGTGGATAAATTTGACCTATATAAGTGTTCCAGTTAAAAAAGGAAAAGTATAGGAATGAGAGAATAACTAGGAAATAATATTTAGTAATTTTAATATAGGCATAATAAGAAATATCTATGTAATGTTTAGAAAACTTATAAAAAAAAGGATTTTGAAAATGTTTCATGAAAAACAGCATACTTTTAGACGGCTATTAAAAAAAATTTAGGGCGGTAGAGATTACTTATATTTATAAAATCCATAACAGAATAATAAGAAATATATAAAAATTAAAAATAATGAAATAGGTAATTTTCTTTATGAGTTATACACATAAACATCATTAATCCCACATTATCTCTTATCGAAAATGAACTACAATGATGACCATATTATTTTTGGGGTTAGCTTCGGCAAAAAGCAATATAACTTTCTTAATATAGAGCAATTCGTCTGGGTTTTCCAATGAATGCCATGCGTTTTTCTTTTTTAGTGGGCTAAAAAAAGCGATTTCCCCCACTTAATCGATTTCTGCTGCGTGGGAGATGCAATTAACCGAAAATAATTTAAAAGAAACAAATCGACAGAAGGAAAAGTTGTTTACTCACAACCAATTTTCTTCTTTTTTTTTTGCCACAAACACAGCACAATAAAAAATAAAATTGTATGTGTTTTTTTCTCTAGTCTGGAGGAAATTGTTAAAGTTAATATACACAAATGTGTAAGGTTAAAATGTGACTTTTTGATATCGCGAGCTGTCAGTGAACTACAGTTGAACAGATCAGAAGAGAAGAGAAAAGAACAGATAATGCGGGTGCGATAAGGTGGATGCTAAACCATCGAGGAAGATGCAATGGAAAAATCCGAAACCAAATTGGAAGACAAAAGCGCAGCGAAGACAAAAGAACAGCTGGTAATAATATAAAAATAGCCGCATAATCGCAACAAAAGGGATGCACACAGACTGCAGACAGAGGCGTCGATGAAAATCACTAATTGGAAAATCTTTTTCCGCACTCAGTGGGTTGTCTACATAAGAATTAAATTATCCCAATCCAAGGCCTAAATTAACCCAACGAGGGGCTGTCGAAAGGTAACTACTACTACTATTAGAAACCGTGAAAAACGTGAGCTTGCCAAATAGTAGCAGAAATTACTACGCAACAATAAATTACTCTGCCGCAAATTGCTTTAATGGAAACAGAAAACAAGAAAAGTAGAAAAAAAACTAAAACAGAAAAAAGAATCGTAATGAAATAATGTGAAATATGAACGGACATGTGTACGTCAATGGAGGCAGTCACTCGGTTTGGGTATAAAATGGTATATATATAGTATGTATACCCTATATAATGGAGAGCTTTTCGGAATGGGCGAGGGGTTACAGCAGAGAGCAGCTGATTCATGCCGGTAAAGTATCTCAATAATGGTGAAACTAGCTTCGAGAATGTTGCCCCCTTTGATATACGAACGTGATGAGTTGCCCGGTTCGGATTAGTTATGCAATTTGCCTTCTTTACCTTTACTTTACTTGTTTGTAGAAGGTTTACCTATTTGCTTTTTCTCTATAATTCATTGTGTTACTTTCCGTAAGATTTGGCTCCCTACCTATTTAATTGCTTTAAAAACAGTACCTATAGAGGTTATTAAACATTTAAGAGGCTTATAGGTTTGAACTCTTTTATACAAGTTGGTAAAAAAGTTGGAAAATATTTTTTATTTATCAGGGTTTTAATGAGATTTAAATAAGGTTTTAAAATATATTCTCATTCATATTTTTCACAATAATTTTCTGGTTAAATATCATCTCAAAAGAACATTTATAAGAAAAGGGTTCTTGTTGTTTTTTATAGCTAATTGACCCCTGTTTTAACGGACAATCTTGTACATATAAAAAAATTACCTTTCTTTATAAGAAATATATTATTTTAATATTTTTCTCAAAATATTTTTTTTTATATTTCCTTTAATTAAAAACTAGTTGTTCCCTATAGCGAATGACCCCTGTATAAACCAGCCATATTTCTGTTCGTGGCATTCAAATGCGTGTGAATCACGCGGTGACGATCGATTTGCGAAAAATCTATGGAACCTATGAGGCTGCCGGCATACGGCTGCTGTTCAAATGCCGGAGAATGATTAATAGCAAAGGCCAGTTCCAAAGAGAGTTCCCTCATCTTCTCCAGAGCCATCGAAATTTCTCCGCCTTGCGATATAATATAAATTAAATAAGAGAACCCGGGCAAAAGGCGATGACATCATGAGTAGAGTTGGGTCGGCGGAGGAAAAAACCACAGAAAAAGAGAGCGGCGAATGACTAACGCACAAACAAAAATTAGAAAAAACAGGGAGGCAGTGGGCGGCAAAGGGCGTGGGATGCAAGGTGCGCCGCAAGGACACTAAAAAACAAACATCAAAATAATACGCGAGTTACGACAGTGCAATGTGATACTCTAATGACGACGGGGGCACAACAAATTAATTAGAAACGCAATGATAACGAGTTTAAAAATAAAAATAACAATCATATTTGCTCACCCAATCCGTATTTGTAGAAGATCTCCTCGACGGACACAATCTTGGGCTGCGGCGGAGATGATGATGATGGAACAGGCACAGCCTTTGGCTTGGGCGGCTCCTCCTTCAGCTTGGGCGGCTCTGGTTTGGTCGTCTCCTGGACACTGGGCTTGAAGACCACCTCCTCGTCATCCAGATCGGTTACCAAAGCGGTTGTCACGGGAACAGCCACTGGAACCACTGGGGATTTGGCAACAACTGGCGGCGGAGCAACTGCAGCGGGAGTGGGTATGGAAATGGGAGCTGGAGCTGCTGCCTCCTTAAAGTCACTCAACAGATCCTCCGAAGAGATAAATTTCTCATTGTCCTGCTCCTTGAGGGCATCCACAATGGGTTTCTTGGCCGGCGATGGAGTGTACGAGACGGACGGCGATTCGGTGTCCGAATCCTGGTTGGCATGGGTCAGTGGAGCAGCAGCAGGAGCAGCTGGGGCAGCAGCTATTGGCTTGCCCAGGAAGTCCTCATCCTCCTTCTCCTCTTCGTCGTCATCATCATCATAGAAATTGGCCTTGGACGGAGCCGTGGGCTGGAAGGCCTGAAGTGGAGCCGTTGGCTGGTCACTGAAGCTGCCCAGGAGGTCCTCCTCCACGGGAGCAGGAGCAGCAGGAGCCGGAACAGCTGGCGGAGGAACTGCTGGCCTTACTGGAGCAGCCGGAGCAGCTGGAGCCTCTGAGAAGGGCGCCAAAGGAGCAGCAAATCCCCGTTCAGCATTCATAAAATCGGTGGTCAGTCCACTGATGCCCTGCTTCACCTCCTTGCCGGCGTCGCGCAGAAAGTCCTCGAAATCGTCCGCTTTCTGGGAAATTTTGGTGTCCAGCTCCTTGGCGCCGGAGGACAAATGTTGAACAAACTCCTGCGGCTCCCCGAAATCCAGATTCTTCTGCTCATTGGCGAAATAGTGCTCCGTATGAGCATTATCATCCTGGGCGCCACCGCTCACATTTCCAGCATCGCCGCCGAGTCCCGAATCGTCGTAGGCCTTCTGTGCCCGCTGGAAGATGTCCTCGTTGGTGGCCGCCGCCTCCTTCTTCAGTTCCGCAAAGTTTAGATCCATTTTTCAAATTTTCAATAGGAAAATTTCACAGATGTTTTTTTTTTCGGATATCCTGGACTTTCTGATTGGAGGAGCGACGCAAACACACGCACGCACGCACACACTCACGTCGAGATGTCTCTCCCGCTCACACGTACACCACGCACCCACTCACACAAGGGCTACAGCTGATTTCGCCGGTTGGTAATTATTACTTCTGCTTTTTCTGTGGCGAAGAAAGCCGCTTTTCGCAGTGCTTTTTGTGCTCGGGAACGTTGAATTTGGTTTGAGCTACAGCAACTTTTGCCGTCGACGAGTTTTGAAAACAGTAATGGGCCTGCGCCTGAGGTGCAGTGTCGAAGAAATGTACTATTTTATACCGTTTTTGGGCTTTCAAATATACCAGAAATACTTGCAATAAACGGTCTCACTCAAATGTTGGGTTGGTGTCCTCGCTAAAGTATATTTTCGGTATTATATTGTTATATACCGATAATTTTTACAAATGGAGTTGGTCGTGGCTAAGTTAGCGAGGACACACTCCCAATAGACCGCTGGGAAAAATGGCCTGGCAACTCTAGCTTTCTTCGCGGTAAATTCAAATTTCTTTGAGTAACAACGAAAAAATTACATTAATTACGTTTAGACTTTACGGCACGTTTTTGATAAAGTTTTCACAGATCTCATTACGGGGTGCCACAGATCTCTTTTTTAACTAAAATCCATTATGGTTTTTACGTACATTGATACACAAAAGAAGAAATCTTTGATGCTTTAGTTAGCTCTATTTGATTTATTTATTAACGTAACAACCACTTTCAGGCGGTCCACTTGAGGCATCGCGTGTCCTGGTGCGTATTGAGGCACCTGACGCGGCAGTAACGCGTTCCGCAGGCGGTGCACGAGTACAGCGAGAAGTTGCCGCAGACGGCGCAGAAATGCCGCACGGGCTTTTGGGGAGGCGGCGCGGCGGCACTCTCGTAGTTGGGCCGCTTGTCCTTGTCCTCCTCGAGAAGCTGCTGGAAGTTCTTGCGATACTTGGCCCGGAAGTACTCGGCGCCCTTGCGCTTGCCCTTCTTCTCCTTGCCCGTCTTCAGGTTGTCCTGGAATTTGGGCAGCTTCTTTGACATGACCAGATCGGCGTGGGGATCGTCGTGGAAGTTGTCCTGCTCCAGGGCCTCCAGAGCTTTGCGGGCGCGCCTCTGCCGGGCAGTGGCATCCAGGACACGCTTCTTCTCAGCGTCCTTGATGCGATTGGATTCGCGACCCGTCATGGTTGTTATTTAGTTTTTTTCGGGTGATTTTTGAAGAGGGGTTTTTCTTAAGCGTCCTTGTCGTGCAGCGGGAAGCTTATCCGGTCCATTAAATCGTCCACTCGCGCCTGCAGCACTTCCACAATGTCCGTGGAGATGAACAAATGGTTCTCGTCCAGATCCTGGATAATAAATTTGCGACCCAGTGCCAGCTTTTCGTCCAAATGCAGCAGGAATTGTTTCATAGCAGGATCACTGCAGGGAATGGGGTATTTAGAGGTGTACTATCATAAAGGCGACCACTTACCACTCCACCAGCACTCCTTTCATAACATTTACCATGTTGCAAGCATTTGTTTGCCGAAAAAAATAAACAATTTGGCAAATTTCAGACGAGCACTCGGGCAATCACAGCGAAACGCAGGCACAGAGATGGGAGAGACGCGAATTTCATATCGATATATCGATGTTTTTGTAAATAACTAAGGCTATCGATGAATGTTTTTAATCAATTTTGTAAAGAATAATTAACAAAAAGTTAGAAAATTAGTAATAGGTGCGTTAAATGTCTCTTGTATTCCATTTTTAATTGTTGACATCATTTAATTAAACATCTAAAAACAACATCCGACATTTGCCAGTCCTATCAGTGCCATTCACAGCGAGACGCCGTGACAGGGGTGCTTGCCAGTCACACCGACGACGAACACTGTAGCAAAAGTGTGAGCAAATATTGAATTCCAAATTCAAGGGAGAAAAATAAAAATCGGGCCAAAAAAACACAATGGAAGCGCTGAACGGAAGGAATATGGCCCTGCTGGTGCTCTGCCTGTGCGCCGCCTATGCCCTGGTGCTCGCCGAGGGCGAGAAGGAGATACCGGCCACGAAACTCGGCCAGAACATAGCGCCTACGATGACTTTTCTTTATTGGTGAGTAAATATGCGGGGCAATTAGCATAATAGATAAGGCGCTCTGACTAACGTGTCTTTTTAGCTACTCCTGCGGCTATCGCAAGGCCTTCGAGGACTACGTGGGCCTGCTGGGCGACAAGTATCCACAGATTCAGGTCAACGGCGGCAACTACGATCCGCCGGGTCTGAACTACTACCTCTCCAAGATTATATTCGCTCTGAAGATCATCATTATTGTATCGGTGGTCAGTGCGCAGTCACCGTTTGCCTTCCTGGGGCTAAACACGCCCAGTTGGTGGAGCCATTTGCAGGCCAACAAGATCTACGCCTGCATGATGATCTTCTTCCTGGGCAACATGCTCGAGGGCCAGCTCATCTCATCGGGGGCCTTTGAAATCACCCTAAACGATGTGCCCGTCTGGTCGAAACTGCAAACGGGTCGCTTTCCCTCGCCGGAGGTCCTCTTCCAGATCATCGACAACCATCTGCAGTTCACCGAAAAGGTTCAGGAGAATCCGGACTTTGTTAAATAATAGCAGCGAAGGGATCGGAGAAAAAAGCGGCGGGACAGCAGCCGGGCAACACCAAAACAGATTCCCATTCCCGGCTCTGAATCCGCACACTGAACCCACTTACACTTAAGCTCTTGTCCTGATATTACCTACTTAGCTGTATCTCCCTCTGTTTTCACCCTCTACAACTTTGTATCCTTTGTGTATTCCTTTCAATTGCTTGGTGATCTGTATGTGTTCTTTCGTTTGAGCGGACAGGATGACGATAAGAAACCGGACAAAGAAACCGGGGTACATCTCGAGATTAAAAGCAACACAAACACACAATGAAGTAGAAAGCCTGCCTCTAGATAAAGATGTACCTTGTCCACAGCCTTTACGGGATTGAGTATGTGTATCATTACTTGTTAGCGGGGGAGCACCTAATTATAAAGGGATATGTGAAACCTTTTTCAAATTGTAATACAAATAAAATTCGCTCGACAGTTTCAAAACAGAAATAAACGGAAAGGATTTTTTTTAGGGTTTTTATACATTTAAACAAGAGCCCTGCATGAGTTGAACCAATGAATTATTTTGAATTTTTATGTTTTATGTGAATAAATTAAGTTGAATTTTGAGTTTAATAGAATTTAATACATTTTAATTTTCAATAAACTCGAATTAATAAAGGCATTCATTCTCTAAAGAAAGAGCAAAAAAGTGCTGACAAATTCAGTTCGAAATTAATTTGAAAATAATTAAATTTATTTATTTTTGAATAAAATTGAATTAAATAAATAAGAAATTTCATGGCATACTACGATACAAAAACACTGACTGATTCAGGCAGGGCTCTATTTCAAACCTAAACTTTTTTATTTTTTACCCTTATCAAATATTAAATTTTTTTAATCATTTGTAGAAAGTTGTAGGATTTCTTATATTTGGTTGCTAGCTGTAAAAATCCCTGCATTTTTTGAATTTGAGATCCTTTTTGGACAAGTTACATCAAAAAACACTTCAGAAAAACCTATCATATATCAAATCTCAAATAAAACAATATCTCATATGCATTGGTTTTATGTGTTGTAAATTTTATTTATCAAAAAACTGGGTTTTGTTTTTGGTTTTGTTACGTTTACAATAATCCCAACAGAGGCAAAAGATTTACTTTCTTTGCAGTGCAGGCAGTGGTTACTCTTCTCGTCCCCTAATTTAATTTTTCATTTTTGGCATGTGTGTTATATGTTATTAGCTTTCGGTGTGTCCACGTAATTAGATTACATCTCCACGGAAAATGGCACTGTTCAGTGGGTTGGCATGTTTGCTTCTCGGTTTTGGTTGATTAACTTTCGGTTGGGTTTTAGGTTTGGATCGTAATAGACTTAAGACATACATTTAACTGCTACTTATTAGCGAATTCTGCAATCTAGGGGGCGGTGGTGTCCTCTCGCGGGCGTCGGTTGTACTGGCGGGTATCGCCCCCATAGCGAGCGTACTCGTTGTAGGTCTGCAGGTTGCTCGGGCGCGGTCCCTGCTGGTACCTTCCGTTCAGATTGTTGGATGAGGCCGTGCTCCACGGCTGCCGTTGTGCCGTCGATGGTGGGTACCTCGAAGCGGAGTTCCTGTTGGAGGAACCGGAGGAAGACCAGCCAGGATTGGAACCCGAAGACCAGGCTGAGTTAGATCCCGGAACGGATCCTCCCGAAGACCAGCTAGCTCCGGTACTCGAACGTGGATTGGAGCCGGTGGACCAGCTTGAGCTAGATCCCGGAAGTGATCCTCCTGAGGACCAGCGACTATCAGGATTGGTACGTCCATTGGAGCCGCTAGACCAGCTTGAGCTAGATCCTGGAATGGATCCTCCCGAAGACCAGCTAGCACCGGGAGCGGTACGTCCATTGGAACCCGAAGACCAGCCCGAGTTAGATCCCTGATTCGAGCCTCCGGCGGAACCGGAAGACCAGCCTGAGTTATATCCCGAATTGGAACCTCCCGAGCGGCTGGATCCTGCCTGATTGCTGCCGGAAGAGTAGCCAGATCCAGAAGCACTGTTAGATGGCCAGTTTGCCCTAAAGTCGGGGCGTGAATTGGGAATCAAGGATCCACCGCTACGCCGGCAAACAGTGCACCTGGAAAATAATACAAGATATGGTATTAGAGGTAAATTGGTTACTCCTCAGCTGAGTTCATGTCCCACCTGCTGATCTTGCTGGTCGGATCCGCCTTCAGGGTCTGCTGGCGGGGCATAGTGAACTGTTCGCTCTCCTCGATTACGGTTAACCAGAAGGAGGCGATGGCATCGTAGTAGTTGCAGTGTCCATTGCCATGGCATTCGATCACCGGCTGGGCGCGGAACTCCTCCAGACAGGAGCCCGGGGAGACTAGGTTCTGTCCAACGCCTCCAACGTTGTCCAAGGTGGTCTGTGAATGAGGTTTCGGTGGTTTAAGTCTCTTTCAAGTGTCCAATTAAAACTCTTATACTAAAAAAAGGATTTTACTGCAAACCAAGCTAAACGACCAAAATTTGGTGACCCCGACTTTTTTTGTATATTTCTTTTTTCAACCGACTTCCATAAAAATCTCAAAAGGATTTTTGAAAACTCTATTTAAAGTATACAACTTTCTTTAAGTGTCCCGAGACATCTTATCTACTAACTCCAAAAATTTGGTGACCCCGACTTTTTTTGTAAGTTTTTGTTTTCAACCGTTATCCATAAAAACCTTTGAATGTTTTTCGAAAACTCATTATTTAAGTTATACAACTTTGTTAAAGTGTCCCGAGATTTCTTCTCTACCAACTCAACAAATTTGGTGACCCCGACTTTTTTTTATATATATTTTTTTTAAGCTATATTTAAGAAAATCTTTAAAGGATTTACGAAAACTCGTTACTTAAGTTATACAACTTTCTTTAAGTGTCCCGAAATATCTTCTCCACCAACTCAAAAAATTTGGTGACCCCGACTTTTTCTCTTTTGTGTTCTTTCAAAATTCAAATGAGTATAAATCCAGAGGAACTCACCATAAGGTAACTGAAGCCGTTCCACATCTCCTCCCAACCGTTAGGGCACTCCGGTATGGACATGGACTGCGAGTGCAGGGCGATGATCCTGGTCTTGGTCTCGCACACCGCGCAACTAAGGAGGAAAAACGATCGTTAATCGTCAGGTAAGGCAAGCATAAAGTGTAATTCCTTACCGCGAGATGTACTTCTCCTGGTCCCTGCCCCGAATGGGAGTCATGGCCACGTTCATGGGCTCGGCGGTGGACAGCCACAGACTGTCGTCGTTGTTCTGGGCATAGTGGCACACGTTCACCGAATCGCACAGCATGTAGGGCATGGTGGTGAACCTCTGCAGGCAGGAACCGGACTGACCCAGATCCTGGCCGACCGCCAAGCTGGCGCCCACGTTGCCCGACAGGGAGTAGCCCTCCCACAGCAGATTCGTGCCGGCCGGGCACTGGGGCACATTAACGGATTGCGAGTGACGGGCGAAGATGAAGCCGCGGCTCTTGGGCGGCGGTGGTGGTGGCGCTGGCTCACCTCGTGCTCCGGGCTGACCACGCAGACCAGGAGCTCCGGCGAAGCCTTGCTCACCCTTATCACCACGCTGTCCCTGCGGTCCATCGGCTCCAGTGTAGCCGACCTCGCCCTGCTCACCACGATAACCGGTCGCACCGCGCAGTCCCTGCAATCCTTGGTATCCCTGCTCGCCGAAATCTCCGGGTTGACCCTGGAATCCATTGAGTCCAGGCTCACCGCGATCTCCCTTACGAACGGCGGAGTAGGGGTGTGTCACTCCCGGTTGACCCTTGGGTCCGGCCAATCCGTCAATGCCATCGATTCCACTCCAGCCGATATCGCCAGTGGGTCCTCGAGGTCCCTGGGGACCTACCCTTCCGCTTTGTCCCGGACGTCCGGGGAATCCTTGCTCACCCTTGGCGCCGGTCCTTCCAGTGTTGCCCTGATAGCCTTCGTCTCCCTTCTCTCCCTGCCTTCCAACTATGGCGTAACCAGACTCACCACGCTCACCCTGGTGACCGATCTCGCCCTGCTCTCCCTTCTCGCCAATCAGGCCATGTCGTCCATTGTGTCCAGGCGCACCGGGATAGCCCACGTCGCCAACTGGTCCCGGTGGTCCAACGATGGCGGGGCCACGATGTCCGATGGCACCGTGGGCACCATTCTCACCCGATTGTCCTGGTGCTCCCTTTTGGCCCGGTCGTCCTGGACGACCCACGCGACCATCTAGTCCAGCATCACCTTCGTCGCCCTTCTGCGCCAGTTCAGTAAAGCCGGGGGCACCGCGAGGTCCTTGATCTCCGGCGAAACCCTTCACTCCGGGTGCTCCATCGAAGCCCGGCTGTCCTTCGAAGCCAATGTCACCACGTTCACCTTGGGCGCCAGGAGCTCCGACAAAGCCAATTTGTCCTTGTTCTCCCTGGGCGCCACGTTCGCCCTGGAAGCCGCGTTCACCCTGCTCTCCGCGATAGATTTGACGATCCTCCACGTTTAGGATGCGTCCTGGGAAGCCAGCTTCACCTTCGTCTCCCTGCTGACCCTGAGCTCCTTGCAGTCCAACTAGTCCACGAGGTCCCTGGTCACCAACGAGACCGGGACGTCCATCGTAGCCAATCTCGCCGCGCTCACCCTTGGCACCTTGGGGTCCGTCGAGTCCCACCTGGCCGATGGGGCCTTTCAGGCCATTAGCTCCACGGCGTCCAGGTAGGCCGCTCAATCCCTGAGCTCCGACCTCACCTTGCGCACCCTTTCCGCCGGCCAGACCGCGATCACCACGCTGGCCCTTCAGTCCGTAGCGCCCGTCGAGTCCATTGAGTCCGGGATTGCCCACCTCGCCCTTGCGGCCAGCAGCTCCGTCGAAGGCCACCAGCGAATCGCCAGTGGGTCCACGCTGACCCTTCTGACCGGTGGGTCCACGGTAACCGATTTGTCCAGTTACACCTGATTCTCCGTCGTCACCCTTGATACCACTGTAGGCACCAACGCCCTTGGGACCCTGACGACCGGGTACTCCGGGAGCCCCTTGCTCACCCTTGCGTCCAGGAAAACCGTTGGCTCCGGGATAGCCATCTAGTCCATCGTCTCCAGAGAGACCTAAAAGTAATTTTAAAGAAATTAGTGGACATTCTATTTATTGCTTAAAATTCTCTAATTGCTAAAAAGTTAACAATAATTGGGTAGAGTAAATATGAGAGATCTACCGAGTGGATTAAAGTCTTTTTAGGTAATATGAAAGTTACCATAGATGAACAAAAGTGATCGTGTGGTCCTAACTAGTGCTAGTACCAGTTGGGAATTATAAACAGGCAGGTTAAACAAAATAATAAAATCTTTCTTGAAAGGCGTCTAAACTATGTGGTTCCTGAGAACTAAGTAACTTGTTACCAATAATTCGGTAGAGTAAACTACCGAATGGATTAGAGTCTTTTTAGTTAATATGAAAGTTACTATAGACGAAAAAAAGAGATCGTTTGGTCCTAACTAGTGCTAGTACCAGTTGGGAATTATAAACAGGTAGGTTAAATGAAATAAAAAAATGTTTCTTAAAGGCTTCTAAACTAAGAGGTAGCTAAGTAAACCTTAATGACCGCTTACCTTTAGGTCCGAATTCGCCGTTGGGTCCACGAGGACCAATGTCACCCTGCCGTCCATTGAAGCCGATCTCGCCTTGATCGCCCTGATCGCCAGTCATGCCGGGAAGTCCACCGATGCCGGGACTGCCGGGATAGCCTTGAATACCCGGACTGCCGAGAAGTCCACGACGACCAGAGTATCCGATGCTGCCCTTGGCGCCGTGCTGTCCACTTTGTCCCAGGAAGCCCACCTCACCCTTTTGGCCCTTCAGACCGTGCGGTGCAGTGCGTCCATTCCGTCCGGGTTCACCCTGCGGTCCAACTGGGCCAACTAGGTAGTCACCACGCTGACCCTTGTTGCCGGGCAGGCCGGTTTGTCCTTCAGCACCGAAGGGTCCCATCTCGCCCTTCGCTCCCTTGGGTCCTGGACGACCGGCGAATCCGTACTGACCTGGTCCACCGACATCACCGGGCAATCCCTTGACTCCCGGACGTCCGGTCAATCCGATTTCTCCCTGAATCACCGCCTGACCCGGCAAACCGCGTTGTCCCTTGTATCCTTGGTTGCCATCCAGGCCCATGGGGCCATCCAAACCAGGCAGACCTGCTGCTCCCTGGGGTCCGTAATCACCGATGGGTCCGGGATAACCCTTGGCACCGATGGGTCCGGCAAAGGATTCACCCGCCGGTCCGCGGTCACCGAGCTCACCCTTGAGGCCGTCATCTCCTTGTTCGCCCTGCGCTCCCTGGTCACCGGGCAGGCCAGGATATCCCAGTTCGCCACGATCGCCGGTGTTGTCGATGATCTCGCCCGGATGGGGCTCACCCTTGACGCCCTTGAAGCCAGTGTCTCCGTCGTCACCGCGCTGTCCCTTGCGGCCATTGAAGCCCGCCTCGCCGGTCAAGTAGATCTTTGGTTTGGAAGCATTAATTCCGGGTGCGCCATTCTTTCCATCGCGTCCAGGCAGACCATCGCGACCTGCGAAGCCGGCATCACCGTAGTCACCACGCTGTCCGGGTTCTCCACGGGCACCGGGGGCGCCAGGTGCTCCGTCCAGTCCCTTGTCACCCTCCAGTCCCTGCTCGCCACGTCGTCCGGCGTCACCGTCGTCACCCTGCTCGCCCTTGACGAGGGCGCCAACGGTGAGGATCTCTCCCTTGCGACCGGGAGCTCCAGTTTTACCCGGGTCTCCGGGAATACCCGGAGTACCGGGCAGACCACGATGTCCAGCTCTTCCGGGCTTACCGGGCAATCCCCGCTCGCCTCGTGGTCCCAGCAATCCTCGCTCGCCGCGGCTGCCATGAGCACCCGGATAGCCGGTGTCACCCTCTTGACCACGCGGTCCTCGAGGTCCAGCACTGCAAATGGGACAGTCATCGCCTCGGATTCCCTTGTCACCGGGCAGGCCGAAGAATCCGTTGCGTCCATCGTCACCGGGACGTCCGCGGACACCGGGCGGTCCCTGGGAGCCCTGCGGTCCAACGATATTGTAACCCTCGCCGGGCAGACCCTTGTCACCGGGCAGACCGACCTCGCCTCGTTCGCCGCGATAGCCATCCTTGCCGGGCACTCCATTGAGACCAGCCTCTCCCTTGGCCCCCAGCAGATTCAATCCAGCATCACCGTGTAGTCCATAGCGACCGGGAAGACCCGCTTCGCCGGTGGGTCCCTGAGGTCCCAGCGGACCCAGTCGTCCATAGTCACCGGCATCACCGCGTTCACTGCGTCCGGGTGGACCACGATTGCCGTCCAGTCCCGGATCTCCTGACTGACCAGCCAGACCGATGGGTCCACGACGTCCCGGCTTGCCGGGCAGACCGGGCGGACCTCGGTTGCCCACCTCTCCGATGTCACCCTGCGGTCCCATGGGTCCCGGCAGCGATTCACTCAAACTGGGATCGTAGCGTCCCGGTGGACCGGCGTTTCCCTGGACACCGGGCATGCCGTCGAAGCCGTCCTCTCCGCGCTCTCCCTTGCTGCCATCCCATCCATCCAGTCCACTATAGCCGGGGGCACCCTTCACGCCCTTGTCGCCATCCGGGCCGGCTAGGCCATCCTTTCCTGGCTTTCCTCGCTCTCCGGTGGTTCCCTGCTCGCCAAAGGCACCCGGCAGACCATTACGACCGACCGGACCTTGTTCACCAGTCGGTCCAACTGGTCCCGGATCGCCCACGGGTCCAACATAACCCTTGTCGCCCTTCATATCGTCATTGTCCTTCTGCACAGCCGACGACAGAGTGTCGCCCTTCTCACCCTTCTGACCAGGTGGACCTACCAGGGAGTAGGGCAGCTCCGATATGGCGCCAGTTTCGCCCTTGGGTCCCGGATTGCCCGGGTCTCCCTTCTCTCCTGTGAGGCCGGCGAATCCGGTGTCACCCTTGTTGCCGCGATCCCCATCGAATCCGGGCGCACCGCCTAGGCCAGGAAGTCCGGACTCGCCCCGGTTGCCCTTGGTGCCCTTGGAATTGATGCCACCCTCGCCGGCTTCTCCGGGAGGACCCTGTTGACCGGGCTTTCCCTTCGGACCACGAACTCCGTTCGCGCCAGGAATTCCAATTTTGCCCTGCTGGCCGGGTCTTCCGTCGCAGCCGTCGATTCCTCGGGGACCTGGGGTTCCCGGCTCGCCGCTGGGACCCTAGATCAAAACAGGATAAATAGGTCTACTTTTTAGATTTTTTTTTTTATTGCTTGTTGGAAACAACAAATATGAAAGCAAGAACCATTTCTTGTGAGGCGTGTTTAAAAAGAATGTGCCTACTTCGGCTTATACAAAAAAAAATGGAGAGGATAAATAGGTCTTCATTTTATTTATTTATTAATTTTTTTTTTCTGCTAGTCGAAAATAAGAACCATTTCTTGTGAGGCGTGTTAATAAAGAATGTGCCTACTTCGGCTTATACAAAACAAAAAAATGGAGAGAATAAATAGGTCTTTATTTTATTTATTTATTTTTTTTTTTTTTTGCCAGTTGAAAATAAGAACCTTTTCTTGTGAGGCGTGTTAATAAAGAATGTGCCTACTTCGCCCTATACAAAAAAAATGGAGAGGATAAATAGGTCTTCATTTTATTTATTTATTTTTTTTTTTTTTTTTTGCTAGTTGAAAATAATAACCTTTTCTTGTGAGGCATGTTAATAAAGAATGTGCCTACTTCGGCTTATACAAAAAAAATGGAGAGGATAAATAGTCTTCATTTTATTTATTTATTTTGTTCTTTTTTTTTTTGCTAGATGAAAATAAGAACCATTTTTTGTGAAGCGTGTCAATAAAGAATGTGCTTACTTTGGCTTATACAAAAAATAAAATTTTGTTTTATAGATCACATAGCAGAAAGCGTTTAAAGTGAACCGTAATCTTGCTTTAAAAAATATTTGTATTATTTTTTTTAACCAACTCACCGTAATTCCAGGGTATCCCACTTCACCTCTGGTTCCAATATCGCCCTAAAAATATTTTTTTTTTAATCATATGCGATCATATAGGAAATCCGAGTAATGAGATTTCTTACACGATGTCCCTTCTCGCCTTGTTCGCCATACTCGCCGGCATCTCCTTTCTCGCCGATTGGGCCGGCTGGTCCAAATGGTCCCTCATCTCCGGCCGGACCTTCCAAGCCAACCCTTCCAATGGGTCCTTGAGCACCCATACGTCCCTTGATGCCCTTGCAGTCGCATAGCGTCGTATTGCAAATCTGGAATAAAGAAAATTGATATTTGCCAGTCAGTCGGGGGAACTAATAGAATTTTGTACCACTGAATATATACCAAGGAATATAGAAGTGGTCTTGATTGCCCCTGATTGGAACTCTCATTTGGGTAATCGAAGATGTCAGAATCAATTCGTTTTATATTCGTTATGCCATTCTGTTTGATTTACTCATCCTCACACGCATCACGAAATATTTAGTTTTAATTTCTTAATTGATCTTTCAGTTCCTTTTATTAAAATAAGTTTTAAGCTATTTGCTAAAGGAAACGCGGTAGCGTTACTATTTTTTTGACCGCAGCTGTTTGATAATAGACATACATGATTCCGTTTGTAACTCCGTTAAAAAAATTTGTAAAATTATTTTGATTTTGGGGTTGGACTGACAAAACATGAATCCGTTCGCCTGTAATTGCAGCTCAAATTAATTTTCAATTCTGAAATCTTAAGTTTCAAACAGTCTTATACTAACGAATTGACCTTCGGCTCGTTAGTTTTATGCTTGGTGGTTTTCGTGCAATTCCTTTCCATAACATATGAAAAGCAAATGAAATCCCAGACCGCGGGGTTTAGCCAGAAAATCAACAACAATAATAAGTAGAGCTGCAACATTTTTCAGCTGCAGCTCGCAGTTCGCAGCTTTAATTGCACAGTTTCCGTTTGCAATGAGATAATCTTCTATATGAGTACGTTTACTTTGGCCTAGTCAATTGAGCGAGTGCATAGAACACGCTCACTGGACCTCCTCGCACTGAAGTTGAAAATGTGAAAAATTCGAAAGGGGGGAGGTGGAAATCTTAGAAACCCCCCGGTTTCACTCCACAGGCACAGCGCATTTTTAACCCATTTAATGTGCATTTATTTATAAACAACAAGTGCAATTCGGTAAAAAGCAATTATCTGGAATATTTCAAATTGGGAAATCGCTTTGATATCCACTTTTGAGGTAGGTTGAAAGTTGAAGAAGAACACCTATTTATTAGCACATTTCTTGCGGCTTCCTCATTGATGTCAGCAGATAAACATCCTTAGTTTTCCAACGTATTTATAGAATTGACATAATTTCATGTTGGTTAAAAGTCCGAATTTATAGCCCCGCCTTCATTAAATGGAATTTCAGTGCTCGTTCAAGTTTTTCTCTGACAGTTCCTCCAAAAAACAATTTAAAAATAAAATTAAAAACAAAAAAACTGCACACATGTTGCACGCATGTTTCGAGATTCTTTGCTTAAAATCTTACTTTTCATTTTTTTGCATATGAAATTTGTGTGTGTTTAATTGTTTGCTGCCTGGAAAAATTGGTGTCAAATGTTTGCCAAAGCAAATTCTCTTTGGGATTAGCGAAGCACCTCCGGATTGAATGGATGACTAATGGAGAAGATGCAAGCGACATCGGTAGAGTTCAAAGCCCCGGAAAATCCTCAGCAGATGAGTTCCCAGAAGTAAATCTGCTCGCAGGAGATCAAACCATCTGTTAACTAAATACTCGCATCACCAAATCCCGAAAAGAGAACGCTAAAGGTAAACAAGAACGGAAAACTAAAAGCTGAAAACTAGGAAAAATCGAAATAAGATTTTTCAATGCGGTGAACCAAAAGATGTTGTGGTTTTTTTGTTTTTCTTCGCCGCCAGCGAACAAATGAAAAATCCGAGAAAATGCAGATACCAAAATAAAATCAAGAAATCGGGGGTGCAGGTGCACAAAAGCAATTGCACTCGATTTCTGGAACAGAGCAGCACTGTGAGAAAAACCTCTGTATAATGTGCCATCGAATCTATTTCAATGGGAATTTTCGATCAGTTCTTGGTTTCATTCAAGTCTTTTGTTTCACATCACACATTCTTTCAATCGAAAAGGCTGCCAAAAGAAACCGAAAAATATATTTGTATATCCCAAAGGAGACACCATCGAATTTCATTCAATCAATTGCCAAATCTGAAACCCAAGGAATTCTCCTCAGATAACATAAAAATAAAATATATGTGAAGATAATAAGTATGTCAAACTGTGGAAATTGTTGCGGTAACACGTTCAAAAGTGACAGCACTGCAATTTCCTTGAACTTGACACTGACTGCACAAATGCTACATATGTATGCTTATGATATATACCCCGTCCATATATGGGCCACTTTTATTTTATTCGGTTTTTTTTGATGGCACCACAGCCCCAGACAGCCAGAAAACGCACCACTAAGTGGCGTCGTCGAAGGGGAGAAGGGAACCACTCGAAATGGGGGATTTCGATGGCTGTTGCACTGTGTTTCTGTTGCTGTTTCTTTTTTCACATACAAATATAATAATAATATATTCACTCGATTCCGCCGATGTCAGCAAAGGAGGCAGTGAGTAGTCGGCTGGGGGCTGGGAATATTCGCAAAATTAATAATAAAATTCCTCAATGGGCACGCGTGTCTGAGGAAGAGAGCTTAGCAAGTGTTTGATAACCCCCTTTTTAAAAAACCATTAATAAGAGGGGCATTTTTAAACTTAAGATGACACTAGTGGATGTACTGAATAATTAACTGCATACTTTTAATGATTTTTAAACTAATAATTATTTTATTGCGATCCTCTTCACTTGAAAATACATTTTTAGATTGTTGCATAATTTTAAATAAAGTGTATTACCTTTTTAACTATTCAGATTACTTTTAAAACATTAAACAAATGTTTAATTGAATCTTTTTGTTCAACTGAAAAATCTAGAAAACCTTTTAAAATTGTTTACCTGATAAAGAATTTATTTTGGGGACTATAAAACAACTTGTAGATCGTTGTAGCACTATAAAACTATATTTTCAACAATGTCATTTCCACTCCAAACATTAAAATAAGCCAAAAAAATCATTTTTGTAATTTTCCAAATTATAAATACTTGTATACTGTATAAAGAACTTAATTCATAAGATGAATTTTTAATTTTAAACAAAGTTTTTTAAAATATTTGGTTTCCCTTTGGCCTTGACCCTTGAGTAATCCAACCTGTTGCCCCACTGTGACTGCGAAGCGAAAGTCTGACCAAATCGGTGGACTATATATGCAAGTTCAGATGCGATAGTGTGTCGCTATGCGCGCACTTAAGCGCATTTACACATGTTAAAGCCAATTGTCCCAGTTGCCGATATTCCGTCTCGCTCGCACTTAAAACCCAGCCGAAATGCATAGTTTAAGGTCAGTGCGAGGCCTCCACACGGTTCCGAAAGCCCAGATCTGTTATATCTGGAATATCATCCATCTCTGGCGCGACAATTGGGCACACCCACCCACGCTAATCGCTTGCCGGGCGGAAAGATATAGAAATAATGAGTGGGGGAATTCTTTTTCATCTGAGAAACCAAGTTTATTGGCCCGACACGTTCTGGATATCTGAACAGTGGTCCTGGGTATCTGATGACAGTCCTCGGGTGCTAACTTTTCGCCTTTCCGCTGAACTGTAAGCGATACTACCCTAAAACTCTGGCCACCAATTCGACGGACTGCAATTATTCAGGGAATGCAAAGCGCAGCGAAATGTCTTCGAAAGAGATAGAACCACTCGGTGGAAAGAGATGGCTACACAGAGAGAGAGAGAGAGAGGCGTCTGGTAATCTGGGTCTCAAAGTTGGTGGCCTGGTCCGCCCGGATGTGGCATACAAAAAAAATAATTATAATTATCAGAGTGTCGCATATAAATCACAGCTGATAAGACTGGACACATTTTCAAGCCGCGAGAGAGCGGCATTAATTAATACATTTAAATTTGGCATTAAATTATATTTCATACATATTTATTACAAATCTTCATATGTCTCTTGTTCCATGTTCTTTTTTGAATTCGAATTCCAGGCGTTGGACAAAGGGGTTATCTGTTGCAGACACCAAGACATCAATGTGAGTTCTTTGTTGCCAAGGGAGAGTTGAAACAAAAAAAAACTTTTTAAGTAATTCAGAACTACATTTTGTACCGAAACGTTTTTAAACTGAAAGAATGAAGATCCTTCTTAACTTAAGAAACTGTTTTAAGAAAGGATTTCTATTTTTTAACCTTTTTCTTACTTAAAATATTTGATTGGCTCTAAGGAAATAGATGAATTTAATTATATATTTTTCAAAAGCTTTACAAATAAGGAAAAAACTACTCAAAATGTGTATTTCTAATGTTCAACTTCAACTGCAATCTAAGGAAAACAGTTTTTCAAGCTATGAAGATGCAGATACAATTATCGAGGATCCTTTTGTGCGTCACAATTGACCCAATTTGCCATGTCAGCCAACACGCGCCATCAATCAACCGCGTTTTCATTTTCATATTTATATGCCCCATGAAGTGGAGTGGGAATTTCGCACCAGAATCAGTAACAACAACAAATCTGTTGTAAAATGTGCATCATAAACGTTTAGAAAACTACATGCAACAATGAAAGGCTGAGATAGGAACTGTTGTATCAGACCCAGAAATACTACTTGTTTTATAAATATTCCTAAAAGTAATATGGAATATTAAACAATTTATATAAACCAAAAAAATTTATAAATTTTAATAATAATAAGGATATGAATACACTTTAATTTATAAGGATTAATCAAATCATAATAATTTATATCAGAAATACCATAGAAAATAATTATTTCCCTATAGTAATACTATTATATAGAACCAACTATAGACTTCAAATCAGGGACCGTAAATAATCATTATTTGAGATTTTTATTTTAAAAGGCCCACTGAGGTTTTTACATATTTTAATCAACAATTTAACTGGTTTTTATGCACTTTATAGACATAAACAAATAACAGTTAATTTGCTTTCCAGATTTGTTGAAATGCATATACTTTGTGGACAAGAGTAAAAAGAACGTTATTTTTGACGTTTAAAACAAAATATCACAGTAGTCTTTTTAAAATAAAAATCTCAAATAATGATTATTTACGGTCCCTGCTTCAAATAGTTTATAGTAGCTCAAAAACCATAAAAGTATTTCATTGAACAGTCAACCTAGTTC